GGGAGAGAAAGGACGGATGGCCAGTGCTGAAGCCAAAAGTGCAACCCCGGGCTCTTAAAGAGCTATCTCCTCTTCAGACGAGGACTCTGTGCAGTTAGCTTCACATAGGTGGCCACTGTGTGTCAGGCACCGGGACTAGGGACGCGCCCATGTGCAAGAACACCCCACAGCCCACCTTTCCAGGGGACGTGGCGGCCTCTGTGAACTGAACTGTCACCCAGATGCGCAAGTGGTCCCATAGTACTGAAAGTGACACAGAGCGAGGGCGCTGTGCCGTGGAGTGGGGGCCAGGGACCTCAGCCCTGTCTGGCCTGCAGGGTGAAGGAGGGGCTGCATGGTGTCTGGCTGAAGATGAGCAGAGGAAGGTTGCCTGCCCGGGACCTGTGGCGGCAAGGGCCGTGACGAGCAGGGAAGGGATGGGTGTCTCTGCATGGGTGTCGCCAGCCATCTCCCTTTACCACATTCCTGCTGCGTGTCGCATTTCAGTTAGCGAGCAGTTCTCTTCTGCTTCTGCCCTGTGTGAAGCATCTCAGGAAATGATCGCGCCCAGTCTGCTTGCAGAGCTTCTCACGCACAGCTGAAGACTAGAAAACGCATGGAAAAGTTGATATCCGTGGGAAAGCTTGCTCTGCTGAACCCCCATCTGGGGGGCTGTCTCCGAGCTCTCCAGGGCCCTGGAAACTCTGTCTCTAACCCTACCTGCCAAGCAGCATGGGAGTGGCAGTGAGTGCCTGCCGCCCGAATGCCCGTGCTTCTGCCCGAACTGTGAATGGCAGGGTCCAGAACACACAACCCACAGCCAGATGTGTCACCGGTCAGAGTTCAGGCTACCTGCCACCAGATAAATCACCAGACACAACAGCTGTGTGCTGCTTTTCTTACTGTACTTTATTACACGTCCCGTAGTTGTAGCTCTCTGTCCCATTTTACCTAGCACACCTCACTGTTCCCGTGCAGGCCGGCCCCTGGGAAGAGAAGAGCTTGAGTCTGAGCTGGGGTCTAGCACAGGCAGGTGGGGCCGCGGGCTCCCATTTCTTGGAGCTGTCACTTCCATCTCTGCTGACAGCTGCCTGTCTGTTCTCACTGAGACTCTACAAAGTGGCTTCTTGCTTCAAACAGCCAGAGCTGGCCCTGGACCACTTCCCTTTGAGTGAACTCTATCTAACTTGCTTTGTTTCTGAAACTCAAACAGCGCCACTAGGACCTATCACGCAATTCACAGGAACAAACAGAGTTCAAGGCTTTTCACACTGAAGGTTTGTGTATGTGGGGCACAGCAATTAGAAAAGAGAAAAGAAGATAACATCATTCACATTTATTTTCTGATACCAGGGTCCCAGTAACACTGCAGAGAGTGAGCCTCCCTTCAGAAAGTTTGACATTTGCTGACTCCGGGTCTGGCCTTCCCGGGAGAACAGTTAGGAAAACTCGCTCTAGGGAAGGGGAGGATGAGCTGTGTTTACTGACAGCGTGGTCATGCTGAGCCAGAGACGCCGGGTCAGCGCTCATGTTTAAGATGCCAGGCGGACCTCTCTTCTTAAACACGTCACTCAGTCTGCAGTGCCTTCCTCTACTACGAGCAAACACTGTGTGCCTCTCCCTCATCTCTGCCTTCCCAGCCCTTCGCGGGCACAAAGCCTTCCCTTCACTTGGCTCAGATTTTCCTGTGTAAGGAATCCTGTAGGAGACAAATCTCAACCTGCTCCACTTGGATTTGAGTGAAATCTTCCTGCGTCGACTTAATCTTCTATCACTCCCCCTCCCCAAATTAATGCCAAGATTTTTCTTACCCAAGAGCTTTTATACTAGAAGTCTTTCTCCATTCATTTTTGGATCACTATCTACTCCTGTTTTCTTGTTGTTTGAGTCTCAGCTGAAATGTTCCCTGGGCAGTCAGGTTTTCTCAACCACTTTGTCTTGGATCTGTGCCCCGTACACACGCTTGCTAAGCACCCTGTGCCCCTGCCCCGGCTCTCTGCAATTATGGGAATGCACCCATCGGTGCCATCTCAGATGGCAGCTGCCAGCCACGGGGCCCTGCTGAACACTTGAAACACGCCTACTTTGATGGCAGAACTGAGTTCTTAAAGTTCTGATGGGTTTAAATTTCCATAATCATATATAGCTGGCTATTGGCTGTAGTAGTGCAGCAGCAAGCAGAAACACCGAAACGATACCCAGGATTTGGAGGCAGATTTATTTACGTCGACAGGCACTGATCGGGATCACTCCCAGCATGTCAGGCCCTGATCCCTGCTGCTCTAGAACTTATATGGGGTAAGGAAGCAGGAAGTACAGAGGTAGAAGAGCTTGTCAGTTGGGGATTGGTTTATTCAGCGTGCATCAGAGTGACCAGCTATGTATCACAAGCGACAAGCCGTTTCTAAGGGACCAGAAGCAACCAGAAGTGGAACAAGAACTATTACCTGGGCAACTAAGAAACTGAGGGATACTGACTGTGGGGGAGCATTCTCCGTTACATTAGTGAATGGTGGAACTTCTGGAAATAAAATCGTCTCATGCTCTCATAGCCCTCGTCGCTAACAGAAATTCTTTTGCTCAGACGTTTTCCTCTGTCTGTCTCTGTCTGTCCACACTGCAGCCTCTTTTCTTGTTTCTCTTTTTGTGCTCACTCCAGCACATCGCCTGAGAGGGCGTGTTAGGTCCCCGGAGAATTTTTGTTGCATTATCTTTAAAACGAGGAAATACCACTTGGCAGTACTTTGCTGTTTCTGGAGACGTTCCAAATTCTTGCTTTCTGTTAATATTGTTTGTCAAAAATAATCTGAGTCAAACTCTGGCTAGTTTTTTTAAACGTATAATACCATCAAATTGTCCACTTCATAACTGGTTCCCTGAGATTCTGCTCCACGTGCTGCATCCTTCCTGACCAGCCTGGCCTCCTTATTGTCTGTCTTTCCATCCTGTTGGGATGGATCTGCAGTCTACCCCTCCCAGTTCTGATATGTTTGTACATTTGTCAAATATGAATTCCGATATTTTATACTCCCTGCGGTGAATGATTCTGGCGACATCCTGAAGAATGTGTAAGCTTAGGTTTCAGACGCAAGGTATTTGTTATCTTTAGACATAAGTTTGTTTTGGTTGCATTAAAGTAAAATCCATGGCTGTTTTGAGATAACAAAAACCAGACGTGTTATTGAATGAAATTTTCCTCAAAGCTTGAATGATTTGTTAGCAGTATTCTCCTAATGGCTTAGAACCTTAAACATACAAAAGTCTTCCTTTTGTAAGTTCTTCTTTGGGTCAGATGTTAAGAGACTCTGTCCATTTAATTATTTTATCTTAATTAAGGGAGGTAGCCTCATATCATTTTATCTGCCCTGGATGTCAGGTGTGTGTGTGTGTGTGTACATGTGTATGCATTACATGTGTGAATTTGCTAAGAAAAAATTAAAGATGCATACCTCCTTTCATCATGCTTACTACCTTCAAATTCTATCCATATCTTTATACCACACGCATATAAAGTATATGCTACTTTGTGTACTTTTGCTCAATATTCTAAGTAGATCAACATGGCTTAACAATTATTTTACTTAACCCTAACCCATAGTCTAAAACACTGTTGCACAAGCATGGGTTCGACTCATCCCCTTCCACTGGGCATTTCTGTGCCAGTGTGATTTCATTAGTAGTAACAAGAGTGCAGTAAATACCTTCATCTGTGTAATGCAACTTATCTCAAAAAGGAGCAGGAGGGAGACTGAGATGGTGCAAATCATATGAGAGTTTCCTGGGTTCATTGACTTTTGACCTGCTTCTTTCTGAATGGGTTACAGTAACAGAAGGTGAGACAGAGCTATACTAAACTATGTCAAGTGTTTCTCTTTCATTTTCCTAACTCTGGCTAATTTTGACAATAGTATTGATATTAGTAAAAGCAATGATAGCAGCATCTTGACGTAGAATAAGTGCTTTAGAAATAGTATTTATGGTGATTAATGATGAAAACTCTGAAGGCAGACTTCCCAAGGTCACATCTGCCCTCCACAAGTTTATCTTTATTTTCTTCCATTCCCTTCTCTGAAAAATGGCCTTTTGGGTTATTGTGTTATTCAAGTGAGGGACTATAGCAGATTACCTAAGAAAGCACTGGCTAATTGTTGCTTAGTATTATCCCTGATACATCCTATTAAATGACACTTTATTAACCCCATTTTACAGAAGAGGAAGCTGAGCAGTTCTCTTCCTTAGGGTCACATAGATCATGACCTGGTGCTGGGATCCCAAATGCAGATGCGCTTCCCTGCCAGCCCTTTCCCCTGAGATGTGCTACTGCTACTTCCGAGTAACTCCAGGGGTGAATTAAACGCAGAAATAGAGGACATAGCGGCACTGTGGTTCACTGCAATGCCAGGCTGCGTGGCTTTGACTCTAGGACAAATAATAAAGCTGTTTTTATTCTGCCTTTTTCACTGAGATCTGAAGACAGTTCCCCACAGAAGAGTTTCCTAGAATCAAGAAACCCTCTAATTTATAAAGGGCCTAGTGGGCGGGAATCCCAAGGTCCTATGCAGGCTCCCTGCAAATACTTACTGACCTGAATTTCTCCTGAATATCACCATAAACACTTTCTGTTATCTCTTAATGTGCTCGCTTCATAACTGCTTAGATGATTATTTTCATTAGCGTAACATTCCTTTTAAGGATAATGATGTTGGAAAAACAGAAACAGTGTAAGCACATTTTCTCAGCTACGGCTGATTGCAAGGTTCTTTTTAACTTTCTTTGCAAATTTGTTGTATTAATTGTAATTTTTCCAAGGGGGAAACTAACATGAACTGGATCTTCACTTTTTATTCTGGAATAGTTAGCTTCTATTCTAGTCCCATAACTCTCCATTGAGACCAAAGTTTGAATATCACCCAGGGCTCAGAAAATTGCTGCTACAACCTACTTTCTCCAGGGAACCTGATTTCAATTTTCATCATTGAACTAATGCCTTGTTTTCCTCCCCAATCTCTTTGCTCAAATAGCTATTGGTGGAGACCACTGATGTCAACGGCAAAACCCTTGAGGGGCCGGTGCCTCTGGACATTGTCGTGATCGACCAGAATGACAACAGACCCATCTTTCGGGAAGGCCCCTACATCGGCCACGTCATGGAGGGGTCCCCCACAGGTACGTCCAGCTGATTTGCCATCATCCTGGAGGCTTGGAGATGGTGCACGACGATCTTCAGTGATTCCAGATACTGTGTTATTGCTATTCCACCTTTCTGGCATGAATCAATATTAACATGTCATTTACCTGGGTAGAAGCAAGAGCTAGAAAGAGGAAGCAGGCAGCAAATTGAGGTCTTGCAAGTTATAAAAATATCTTGCCTTGTCTCTGAAGGTGATCGTCCATGGTGACTGCAGGCTGAGTCTCTGATGCGTGGCTGATGTGGGGCATGGTATAAATATCTAGCTCACCAGACAGGCTCTGGGAGTGTTGTCTTATCTAGGCTAAACTTTATGCTGCAGTGGGCCTTTGGTGAGAACTGAAGTCTTCACTATACATTCCTTTTATTTCTTTTTATAATTGCCTTTTAATAAGAACAATTTTGGTGAAACAGGTAGGACTTCTTTTTCCCTTTCCTTAGAAGCTGTGCATGGCAAGACCCTTTGTCTTCAGTTAAAGGGCCAAAGGCAGGACATTTTATCTCTCTCTGGAAATGCATGTACCTGCTGTCATGGAAATCACTCAAGGGGACTGTGGAGCCCACTGCTACCTTTTTCTTGTGTTTAACCCATCTATCAGGGAAGGTTTTAGAATTTAGAGTTTCTTTTTAGGCCCAGAACATAATAATTAAAGCACTTCATGGCCAGCAGAAGTTACTCCTGAGTACAATGCCAGAGAAGGTAAAGAGCAAAAGGGAAAAATCCCTTTTAGACTGGACTTGGATTTTAAGCTGTAAGATTTCACTTGAGTGAAAAAGTGCTGTTGTTAAGAGTATCAGTGTTTCCAAGTCTAAGAGTATGTCCAAACAATAAGTAAAACAGTCATTCAGTGGCCAGAATGGAGCAGGAAGTCTGAGGACTGCTTTGACTACTTTTCCCCCTTGGCTGAAGTGAGGGGATATATCAATGGCTTGTAGATACAGGATGCTCTGGGAGTGTTGTCATGGTAACCTCCCCAGACTACCAGGGGAATAATCATATGCAAGATGCCTAAAACCTGCCTCAGCTTCAAGGAGCGGGGCCTCTGTGCACACCATCAAATCCCCAAGGGCAGAAGTGCCCTTCTGCCTTCGCAGCTTTGAATGTACCCTGTACACATGAAGGTGAATTTGCCATGTCTGCCAGAGTGTGTTTTGAGGCCAAGTGGAGGTGGAGCAGTGAAAACAGGCCTGCAGAGATGGCAAGAAAGCCAGAGGGCAGGTCTGATCACCTCAGAGCAAACCAGCCAGTGGACTACGTATGGACGAGAGGACATTTCTGGCAAGAAAGACCGTGGAGTCTGGATTTGATGTTTACAGAACTCTACTCAAACAAGCTGATGTGCGGAACAAGTTAGGAGACCTGCCAGGAGACGCTTTAAAGAGACCAGAGTTTGAGGAGAATGGAAAGATTGCTGGTTTCCATCTGCGGTCCCCAGAGCCTGTACACCAGGGACTGAAATGTGGAGAGTGGGAAAAGTGTTCTAAATGTAAATGGAAGTGGTTTCATTTGGGGCACGGTAGCGTGCCTGTGTCTTGGTATTTTATGTGCGAATGTGATTAGACAATATCCAATTTGCCTTCCACTGTGTCCTTTCTTCAAGTTTAGTTCTGACTTTATTGCTTTATATATGTAGGTCATATTTTCCAAGAAAAATAGAATCCTTTATGCACGTTGAATTTCTTAAAGCACAAAGCTATTCAGTTAGGGGTAGATGCATCTCCAGAAACACATAAACCACCGCAAACTTCTGTTTATGATTGGTATTATCCCATAAACATACATAATGCCTCGGATGTCTGTATGGGATTGCTGCCTCTGGCAACATAGTGTTGAGACTGATTCATTGTTTTCTTTCTCAGCACCTTCTGGGTTTAACTACAAAGCAGGCATTGAAATGGAATCAGTCAGATTTGGGGTCAAGAATGTAGAAATTTTGCAAAACAGAGTTCTTAAAAGAAAACCACTTCATTCGCTTCGCACCTTGTAGGAGAGCTACAGGGAAGACAGCCCAGGCGGCATCTGTGGAGACAGTAGAAATCTGAGAAAGGCAGTATTACCCCCTCTCCTGCCCAGTCTCCAGCCAAACCATTTGCAAATTACACCAAAAAGACCTCAGCCAGATGTAGAAATCGTATGTCTCCAATTTCCATAGTTCCCAGCTCACTTGCGGCTCTTTGAATCCTATGTGTCATAGATATTGCACAGCGCTCACTTTATGGAATGGTACACTGACGTTAGAAAGAGTTGGGTGACTTTTCCCTGTTCTCAAGAGCTGAGGAGAGTGTTGGCACTCAGCCTGAATCATCTACCTTCATTCGTGAGCTCTTCTCTCTGCCACCACCCTCCACGATGAAAACAGCCAGCAGACCAACCCAGCATGACAACAGCTAAACCTCACCACGTGCCAGGAGCTTTTACACATGACCCCTCCGCTAACGACTTCTCACCCGAGAGGTGGTCGCCACTAGCGCCATCCTACAGGTGAGAAAGGGGAAGCTCGAAAGTGTCTGGAAACTTGCCCAAGCTACACAGCTAGGGGACAGAGTCAGTATCCGTGTGTCTGGCTTCAAGGCGCAGGCTCTTGCCCACCTACCGTGTTGGCAGTGGCCACCATCTTCCAAAAGGTCAGGGTGGGAAATGTGAGGATGGCTGCTCACTTTGCCAAGAGGATGCTGCCACCTCTGCCTCCATTTTGTGGCGAGATTCTGGCTGGACCGACACTGGCATCTGCTCAAAGACAAGTCCAGATCTGTGCACTGCGGACCTCACCTCTTCCCAAACCCTGTGTGAGCCTAAGACCACCCCCCATGAGACCTGGCCCCTGGTCTCTTCCGCACACCATTTGTGCTGAGGTCCCTTTGCCGGTCCAGCTGGGAGAGCATTTGTGCAGTTCTAGCAGATAAAGTGACTTTGTTTCTGATAGAGAATGAGCAGCGCTCCTGACATAGCCAGGTTTAATGAACTCTCTGATAAAAAGCTTGCTCAGTCTATTGGGCAGAGCGGTCCCTGTCACTTCTTCTGAGCCCACATAACCGGGACCAGCTGTATGGGGTGTGGCCTGTGCAGTCTCAGAAACCCCACGCTCGGAAGAGTCCCCTGCTTGTGTTACTATTCTGTCATTGCTCTCTTGAAACTTTTAATAATTGTGCAAGGGGCCTGGCATTTCAATTTTGTACTTGGCCCCACAAGTTGCATAGGTGCTGTTGCCCATGGCACTGGGACCTAGTGCTGGGTGGGGTAGGACATCTCAGTTCCCACCCGAGAGGCTCTGTGACAGCCTAAGTGACATAGCTTGCTTCACCCAGTGCGTAGAGCACAATAAATGTTGAAGAGATGCCAGTGTGGTGTTAATATAGCAGTTACTTTTATCATCTGGCAGCATACCCTTTAGCTAAGGTAAAGCGAAGGGACACACAGTTAGTGTGAAGGCGAACCCAGCTCCCAGCAAGCCGAACATCATTTCTACGTCCTCGTGTACCTGAGTGCCATCAGCGCCAATCCATCACGGAGGAAGGTCACCCTTATTTATCTGTGTGTGCAGACAGGACACCATCCCCAGCTGCTCAGCACTCAACTCCAGGGTATTGTTTGAGGGAATCACTCCTGAATGAAGGCAGAGAGATGGCAAATAACGGTCTTTGAACTTTGCACATCACGAGCTGTTCCTTTTGTAGGATCACAAGGCATTGATTCGTGGGGCCCAGGCTCCAGCTTCTCCAGGGCCAGCCAGATCTCTGGGAGAGTCTGGTGTTTTGTCAACCCCCAGCACCCATGCCAAAATATCATGAGCACAGGGCAGGTAGCTGGGGTCCTTGAGACTTGTGGCAGGCACCCACCTCAGAACTCCGTGGTCCTCACCGGCACCAATGCCACCGTGGTCTGGGTACCTTTGTGAAGGGCTAGCCATGAGGAACGGACCGCTTGCACATAGGGCTGCCTTGGAGCAGACCCTGAGATGAGACTACAGCATGTGTGTTTGACCTGAGGGGCAGGGATGTTGGGGTGGGGTGGAGCTGGCCAACTTGGGGATCACTATTAAGCCAGCTAGCAGAGATGGAGTTTAAGACTTTCCAGCCAACTCTGGGAAATGACATCAGATGCATACATTAGCATTATCCTAGGGGAGGGGCCCGTGCCACCCTGCGGATGCGACATTGTTTGGGAACTGTCCCTGGGGTGCTTTCAGCCGGTGGTACTCAACGGCTCACAGCAGCCTTCCACGAGGGACAGGAGCCAGCCAGGCATGAGGTTGGCCTCGGCTCTGCTTTCTCTTTCTGAGCCACCCTGAATGGACCTCTGGGAAAATGCCTTCCCACCTCACTTGGGAGGAGCAGTTTTGAGGGACAGGGAACATGAGGAATATCTTTGTTCCCAACTTACATGATGTACAGCATCCTTCAAGCAGGGGCAAGACCAGAGGGACAGTCTGAGTCCTGAGGTGGACACACAGCTCAAGTGCTTCTCTTTGCTTTTTCTTTCTTTTTCTTCTTTTTTTTTTTTTTTTTTTTTTTTTTTGGTAGTACTAGGAATTGAACCAAGGGCCTTTGCACTGTGCTACATCCTCAATTCTTTTCATTTTGAGACCATCTCGCTAAGTCACTAAATCACCCCGGCTGGGCTCCAACTTGTGACCCTCCTCCGTCAGCCTCCCAGAGTGCTGGGATTACAGGCCCGTGCCACGACGCTCAGCTGCTAGCCCTTCTGAAGGCAGCTGAAAACCAGCCAAATTTAACAGGTCCCTCCTTGTCCTCTCATTTCTGAAAGCCAGGATGCTTGCCCTCCCTTGCATCCCTCTCTCTCCCTGTTTGTCTTTCCCACCAGTGCTTTGACTGAGCACTCCTCTGCACCCCTGTCCCAGGCTCCCAGGTCACAGCGATGACTGCACAAACACACTATCCCCTTGGCATTCACAGCCGTGCAGCGAAATGGCAAGGAGTCAATCAGAACTGAGATGGTGGCAGGCGCTCCACTCGGCCA